GGCGGATCTCCACTGGCACCCACCAGCACCCCACTCACCGCCCCGCCATCTAGCCTCCTGACGAAGGGGTCGATGGCAAAGGCATAGAGCAAGGGACTCAGCGGGCACCCCTGGCGCACCCCAGATCCAACCTCAAAGGGCTGCCCAACCCAACCATTCACCAGCATGAAGCTCTCCGCCCCTTGGTACAATGTCTTCAACCAGCCGATGAACCTCCCCTCCAAACCATACCGGTCCAGGAGATGCCAGAGGTACTTGTGATCAACTCGATCAAAGGCCTTTGCCTGATCCACCGCCAGCAAGTACTTTCCCCATCCTTCAGCCTTACATCGCTCCAGAGCCTCCCGGACAGCTAACACCGCTGTAAAGGTACTCCTGCCCTGGACCGAGCAATGCTGCTGACGAGAAAGCAAACTGTCTGCCACTGATGACAAGCGCCAGAACAAGATCTTTGCCAGAACCTTTCTATCAACATTGAGGAGGCTGATGGGGCGCCAGTTCTCAATAGCCGAAGGATCCTTACCCTTTGACAGGAGAATAACTGCAGACTGTCTCATGGAAGGAGGGAGAGATCCCTCATCCAGACAGCTGTTATACACTTCCGCGAGACGAGGTGCCAGGCGGGATTTAAAAGCCTTAAAAAATTCGGCTGTAAGACCGTCTGGCCCAGGAGTCTTTTTAATGGCCAGACTATCAATCGCTCTGGACACCTCTTCTGCAGTAATCTTCCCAGTCAAACTCGCCAGAGGGACATCACTGTCCAGACCAGGCGTGGATTCCAAAAAGCTCGACATCCCTGTCCGGTCAAGGTGCTTCTCACTCAGTAAATCCGCATAAAAGGACCTGGAGACCTCCAAAATCCTTGACCTGGATTTAGTCAGGGACCCTGTACTATCCCTCAGAGCAGAGATCGTCTTAACTGCTGCACTCTGTTTGCAATTCTGGAAAGGGTCAGGTGAGTGGTATTTCCCATAATCCCTCTCCAGAACCAAAGAGGCACGCCGATCATACTGGAGTTTCCTAAGGAGAAGCTTCACCTCCGAGATTGCCCCTGAATCTCCACCGCTAGAAACAAGGCGGTCGAGCTTTCTCCGCAACCGCTGGTAGGTGTTATACTGTTTAAACTGCTGTCTCTTACCAACGGCCTTGAAAAACCTGCTGATCCGCACTTTGGTGAGCTCCCACCACTCAGACTTACTGCCGCAGAAATCCAGCACCGTCTCCTGCGCCTGAAAGAACTCCTCGAAAGATCGTCTCACCTCCTCGTCCTCCAGCAGAGACGAATTCATCCTCCAGATGCCCTTTCCTCTCAGCGGCGTGTCTGAAATATTCAAGGTGACAGATAGCATAAGGTGATCGGAAAACTCCACCGCCCGACACTTAGGTGCCGAGAAGGCAGAGTTCTTCAAAAAAAACCTGTCTATCCTACTCTGGCTATTACCTCTCCTATAGGTGAAACCCGTGCCGTCTGGGACACTTTGAATCCAAGCGTCAACCAGACCTGCCTCCCTGACTATAGCATTTAGAAAATTGCTATCATATCCCAGCCTGTCAGTGAAGCCTCTCCTGTCCTTGGACCTAGTAATGGTGTTAAAATCACTTCCAAAGACTACCAGCCGGGATGTAAAGAGGTAAGGTTTAATCCTCGCAAAGAGGTTCTTCCTGTCCCACTTGGACTGTGGGCCATAGATATTAATGAGACGGAGCTCATGCCCCCTTACGAGAACATCCAGAATCAGACATCTTCCGATCTCTACCTCAATTATCCGCCGACACGTTACCATGCCGGTAAAAAGCACCGCAACTTCGCTGTAAGGCTCAGCCGCAAGAGACCAGTAGGAGGGCCCACGCCTCCACTCACGCTTGGCCAGATGGACATCAGCCAAGGTGGGCAACCTGGTCTCCTGCAAAAAGAAAATATCAGCTTCCATCCCACTGATCAAAAATAAGGCTGTTTCTCTAGCACTTACAGACTTCAGGCTGGCAACATTAATAGTTGCCACCTTTATCGGAGCGGGAACTGCCATTAAGATAATTGAGAGGGACGTTTCTTAATCCTCCTCTTGACTTTCTTGGCAGGGTCCCTCACTCTCTTAAGAAACCCCCCAGCATCCTCGTCCTCCATCGGGGAAGCAGGATCACCTGACCCCTCCTCCTCCCCCCGACAAAGCCCCAAACCTATTCCCCAGGGCCACATCCCCCACCTCCAAAGAGGACACCGACCCCGCTGAGGACAACACCCTTAGCCAGGACTGTAGGGCTAACCTGCACCTCAGACAATTTTGCAGGCATTATACCCGCTACCCCAGTGTCCAGAACCATCTCACCAACACACCCAGCAGAGTCCTTCTCCTTCTCCCCTTCCAGTGGCTCCCCTGCCTTTGCCAGCACGTCCTTGGGGATGCGTTGCAGCATGACAAAGGCAGCATGCTCTTTCACCACCGGCTTAGCCGGCTTGCGGGGGATGACATCACTTTCAGCTTCTTCCTCTGAGTCCTCGGACGTAAACCTGAAGTCGGCTCCACGCAGCTCTGCAACCGCCTCTGCCAGGAACTGCAATCCGCCCGCCATCTCCGCCTCCTCCTCCACCTGGGTCCCCCAATCCACAGGCAGCTGCCCAGGGGGGAGGGACTCTGATGATCCTGGGACCACGCTGTCTTCCATTTCCTCTGAGGGTGCTGCGGGCTCAGCCTGCCCCTGCTCACCTTCCACCAGCAACTCCCCCGACAATTCCTCCACCGAGGAGGCCTCCTCCACCGGACCCCGCATCGCCGCAACACTGCGGCTTCTTGCAGCCTTAAATCTCGCTTCATTCAGATACTTCTCACTTAGGACGCCGCTCTTGCGCTGCAGCGCCGCCACATACCTCCCCTGCTGTGACGCACGAAGTTCCAGTGCCTCCAGGCCGGGTTTCATGGCCTGCCGCTTTGTAGACCATACACGGTCATAGGATGACCGGAGCTTCTTTAGCTCCAGAGTCAGCTTCTGGAGCTTGGCTTCCTCCTTCTCTACTAACCTGGCCCAAGCGGCCACACGGTCTCGGTAGGTAGAGTAAGCTTCCCCCTTCCTAGGGGCCGTTCCCAGGTCCTCCACTGGTGGAAAAGAGAGGCCGGTACTAAGCCCCTCCAGGGCCTTCTCCTCGCTGGACCCAGGCCCAGGATCCGCCATCCTGCCTGGGCTGGGCAGGGCACTTTAGCCCCAGGCTTCTCGGGCCTTTCTGGAGCTCAGCAGACAAGTGCAACACACCCTCTCTCAGGAATGAATTCACCAGTAATGGTGGGACTCAGCTGCCTTGTGGGCTGCAGTACCAGGGCTGGCCAGCGGGTGCTCCCAGCAATCAGAGACTCAACCCTGCAGCCAAACACCTGAAGTTGATTATACAGGTGTATTTAAGGGATGGCCAGACCTGCAGTCTCTGCCTTGGTGTGTGGTTTTTCCTGGGCCCTGTAGCTTGTTCCTGCATCCCTGTTCCTGTCCCTGGCTGATTCGTTGCTGACCCTGCCCGATCCGGACCTCTGCTGACTTCTCCTGTTTCATCCCTGGCTTGTGACCCCGACCATTCTCCGCCTGACCCCCTGTACCTACCTGCCCGATTGTTATTACCCGCCTGCCTGACGACACTTGCATTGTATGTACTGTTATCTGTGGGTGGTTTGGTTTGGTTCGTTTGCACTGTGTTATGTTTTAGTATTGCACTGCGTTTATGTTTGTATTGTTAGTCTTTAATAAATTATATTGTTTATAACTTATCTGAAGCCTGCGTTTCCCTGCGTCAGTCACATACCTCTGGTCACACCCTGGAGCCCTGACATTACACCAAGGCCAATCCTGACCAGAAGTGGCTGCACAGGGAAGCCATCTTGGCTTGTTGCTGGGAAGGATGGATCTGGATGAGGTTGTGTATTTATCTCTGCTAGTGTTTGATGACAGAGAGTATGCTTATCAAACTCTGAAGGAGTATCCCCGGGGATCAACTATTAGAGTGTATACGGATCGCTCATTGCCTAGTAGATCAGGGCACAGAGTTCTCTGAGGTGCAGCCATTGATTCAGGTTTGTGCTGAGTTGGTTTCATCTGGTACCCCCGAATGCAGGGATGAATTTTTGCCGCCATTTAGTGCCGACCAGGTAGAGTCCCTGGTATGGTTATTAGAGGATGATGTGGATTACTTTCTGGAGCGTTATTCTGCATGTTCACCACAGATACTAAGAGATTGTATAAACGCAGTGCAGTCATTGACCAGACAGGCTTTGTGTAAACTGAGCTTTGTTCAACCCATACTGCAGACATGGTCAGACTTGTTGCACCCAGCCTCAGTCAGCTTACAACATCATTCCTCCACTCAAGGCACTCTTCCTGCATCCCCGACAGCACCCCCAGTGACTGCCCAGTATACTCTAACTACCACATACCAGTCCTCTGCTCCCACTCGCTGCACCTATCCTTTCTTTAACCCTGTAAAGAAGTCCTCTGTAGCAACTGCTCCCTCCTCTGTTCCATCTTCCAGCTCTTCTCTGTCCTCAGCTGCTCCATTCGTTTGCAGACCTGCGTTTACTTGCAGTGCCCCAGTAGTTAAAACCAGAAAAAAGCGGAAATTCTTTCCAACCAGTACCATCCTGCCAGTATCCAAACCGGTGAGCCTGCCGTCTGAGAACCTGCCTTCCGTGGTTCAGCCTGGTGCCTCGGCACCCGCACTTCAGCCTGATGCCTGTACCCAGCCTGATGTCTGTACCCAGCCTGATGAACTGATCCAGCCTGATGATCCTATCACGCCTGATGACCCAGTGCCCGCTGTCGAGCCAGACGATCCGGTACCTGATGACCCGGTGCCCACTGTCATGCCTGGTGACCCGATGCCCGCTGTCGAGCCAGACGATCCAATGCCTGATGACCCAGTGCCCACGCGTCATACCTGGTGACCCGATGCCCGCTGTCGAGCCAGACGATCCAATGCCTGATGAACCAGTGCCCGCTGTCATGCCTGGTGACCCGATGCCCGCTGTCGAGCCAGACGATCCAGCGCCAGATGACCCGGTGCCCGCTGTCGTGCGAATTGACTCAGAGCCCACTGTTGTGCCTGGTGACTCGGTGCCCACTGCCTTGCCAGATGACGCGGTGCCCGCTGTCGAGCCAAATGACCTGATGCCTGGTGACCCGATGCCCGCTGTCGGGCCAGACGATCCAATGTCTGACCCAGTGCCCGCGGTCATGCCAGTTGACTCGGAGCCCACTGTCGTGCCTGGTGACTCGGTGCCCACTGCCTTGCCAGATGACGCGGTGCCCGCTGGCGAGCCAAATGACCTGATGCCTGGTGACCCAGTGCCCGCTGTCATACCTGGTGACCCGATGCCCGCTGTCGAGCCAGACAATCCCATGCCTGATGACCCAGTGCCCGCTGTCATGCCTGGTGACCCGATGCCCGCTGTCGGGCCAGACGATCCAATGTCTGACCCAGTGCCCGCGGTCATGCCAGTTGACTCGGAGCCCACTGTCGTGCCTGGTGACTCGGTGCCCAATGCCTTGCCAGATGACGTGGTGCCCGCTGGTGAGCCAAATGACCTGATGCCTGGTGACCCAGTGCCCGCTGTCATGCCTGGTGACCCGATGCCCGCTGTCGAGCCAGACGATCCAACCCCAGATGACCCGGTGCCCGCTGTCGATCCAGACGATCCGGTACCTGATGACCCGGTGCCCGCTGTCGTGCCAATTGACTCAGAGCCCACTGTCTCGCCTGGTGACTCGGTGCCCACTGCCTTGCCAGATGACGCGGTGCCCCGCTGTCGAGCCAAATGACCTGATGCCTGGTGACCCGATGCCCGCTGTCGAACCAGACGATCCAATGTCTGACCCAGTGCCCGTGGTCATGCCAGTTGACTCAGAACCCACTGTCATGCCTGGTGACTCGGTGCCCACTGCCTTGCCCTAGATGACGCGGTGCCCGCTGGCGAGCCAAATGACCTGATGCCTGGTGACCCGATGCCCGCTGTCGCCTCCAGATGATCCCCGATGTCTGACCCAGTGCCCCGTGGGGGCCCGATGCCCGTTGACTCGGGGGCCCACTGTCATGCCTGGTGGCCCGGTGCCCGTCGCCTGCCTTGCCCGATGACGCGGTGCCTGCCTGGGGCCCGGACCGCGATGCCTGGGGGCCCGATGCCCGTTGCCGCGTGCCCCGACCCGGCGCCCGCCGCTCCCGCCTGGGGGCCCGTCGCCCGCCGCTCCGCCTGGGGGCCCGATGGCCCCGCCGCCCCGCCTGGGGGCCCGGCGCCCGCTGTCGCTCCGCCTGGGGGCCCGATGCCTGTCTCCCGCCTGGGGGCCCCGATGCCCGTGCCTCTCCGCCTGGGGGCCCGATGCCTGTCTCTCCGCCTGGGGGCCCGATGCCTGTCGCTCCGCCTGGGGGCCCGATGCCTGTCGCCCCTCCGCCTGGGGGCCCGGATGCCGCCCCCGCTGCCCGTCGCCCGCCTGGGGGCCCGATGCCTGTCGCCCCTCCTGGGGGCCCGGCCTGTCCCCCCTGGGGGCCCGATGCCTGTCGCCCCTCCCTGGGGGCCCGATGCCTGCTCGCCCCTCCTGGGGCCCGATGCCTGTCGCCCCTCCTGGGGGCCCGGTGCCTGCTGCTCCGCCTGGTGGCCCGGTGCCCGCTGCTGTCCGCCTCGCCCGGGTCCCGGTGCCTGCTGCTCCGCCTGGTGCCTCTGCCCGGAGTCCTGCCCGATGTGCCGCTGCCCGGAGTCCTGCCCGATGTGCCGCTGCCCGGAGTCCTGCCCGATGTGCCGCTGCCCGGAGTCCTGCCCGATGTGCCGCTGCCCGGAGTCCTGCCCGATGTGCCGCTGCCCGAGTCCAGCTCGATGTGCCTCTGCCCGATGTGCCGCTGCCCGGAGTCCTGCCCGATGTGCCGCTGCCCGGAGTCCTGCCCGATGTGCCGCTGCCCGGAGTCCTGCCCGATGTGCCGCTGCCCGGAGTCCTGCCCGATGTGCCGCTGCCCGGAGTCCTGCCCGGTGTGCCGCTGCCCGGAGTCCTGCCCGGTGTGCCGCTGCCCGAGTCCTGCTCGATGTGCCAGTCTTTGATATCCCGCCAGTTACCAGACCCGGGCGGTGGAACATTTTGCCCAGCTAGGACTGTTTGGAGCGTCCTGAGGCCGCTCCTTGAGGGGGGGGTACTGTCAGGAATGGACTTGCCAGTAATGGTGGGACTCACCTGCCTTGTGGGCTGCAGTACCAGGGCTGGCCAGCGGGTGCTCCCAGCAATCAGAGACTCAACCCTGCAGCCAGCCAAACACCTGAAGTTGATTATACAGGTGTATTTAAGGGATGGCCAGACCTGCAGTCTCTGCCTTGGTGTGTGTTTTTCCTGGGCCCTGTATCTTGTTCCTGCATCCCTGTTCCTGTTCCTGTCCCTGTCTCTGGCTGATTCGTTGCTGACCCTGCCTGATCCGGACCTCTGCTGACTTCTCCTGTTTCATCCCTGGCTTGTGACCCCGACCATTCTCTGCCTGACCCCCTGTACCTACCTGCCCGATTGTTATTGACCCGGCCTGCCTGACGACGCTTGCATTGTATGTACTGTTATCTGTGGGTGGTTTGGTTTGGTTCGTTTGCACTGTGTTATGTTTTAGTATTGCACTGCGTTTATGTTTGTATTGTTAGTCTTTAATAAATTATATTGTTTATAACTTATCTGAAGCCTGCGTTTCCCTGCGTCAGTCACATACCTCTGGTCACACCCCGGAGGCCTGGGGTCAGTAGGGGGCCCCATGAGATGCCCCTGGTACCTTTTTCATAGGCTTTTTTGAGTTTGGGCAAGGACACAGGGGCCCCATGATCCCCTATTGCCCGGGGGCCCCATGAGTTGTCAGTCTGCCCCTGTTACCCAGTCCATATCAGTACAGATATAAAGTATAATATTTTTCCTCATTGAGATCTGATGTGTCTTCAAAGTGTTCCTTTAATTTTTTTGAGCAGTGTATATGAAAATCTGCAACTCTCATTTAAGTAATCCTACGCTACCTGAAATCCTGACTACCCCTTGTACCAATCTACTAGCTATGCTCCTCTGTTTTTACCCTGTTACATATGCTTCTGATGAAGACTCTTAGGCTAGGTTCACACTGCTGCAATTTGGATTTGACCATTATGTTGCACAATTTGAATGCAACTTTTATAAGGTTTGTATATTCTACGGGGCCAAAATCACATTGGATTTGCATCAAAGTTGTACAGGAACCTTTTCCAAACTCGCTCCGTGCTGAGATACACTGACATGAATGGGCACCATTGAAAATTTCCCTTGTCAAGTGATTCTGTGCATCTCAAGGCGCATCTGAAATCTCACTAGTGTGAACTAGTACTAGGTTACCATTTCAGCACACATTATGCAGGCATTGTCTATGGTAGTCATCCTCTGGAAGGTCATGGAGCCGTCAGTGAAGGGCATATATACAGAAAGGAATTGGCTGCAAAAAGTCTGTAGGAGGCTGCAGTTCTGAGATGCAATATATTTATTTTTATTCATTACAGTAAACATAAACAAAGAGCCTTATTACACTTTCCAAACATATACTTATTGTAAAATTAGACATACATACTGCACGTTATTTACTGATCACTGAAGATTCACTAGATTGCATCTTTCCTGATCCTGCTTAGTGCT